ATGTGTAAACGGAGCGGACGAATGTTAGCGCAAGCATTGATGTCACCTTTCCATTTCTAGATGAAGAAACTGATATTTCATAAACAATTATGGGGGGGAGGGTTTCGTTATATCGAGGGAGAGGTGCAGACAATTCGTTAAGTAGAGGTTAAATTCGCTATAAAGAGGTTCTGACAATGATAAATATGTTATATTGAGGTGTCTTGTGATGTTTTTAAATCAAGGTCATTGATATGCTTTATTCGTTTAAAGAGGTAAAACATAACTGTGGTGTTTTAAACTGTGTCTTTTGGAGAGTTCTAGGAGATTTCAAAAAGTTCATTATATCAAGGAATTCGTTATATTGAGATTCGTTATATCAAGGTTAGACTGTATAACCAAACCAAAATGAGGCTGCAATCTCGTAATAACTGTAAGAGTTAAAGGTTTCAAATTCAACGAGTCTTCATTTTACATGAATATTTTTTTCCTGAGACACTAGACATGACCTCAGGATTGTTTTTGACATTACTTCAGATTAGACCTAGGGGTTGTGGCACATAAGACTTGGATAAAATCCATTGTTGATTTGGCGGGATTTGAACCTGGACCTCAGGGACTGAAGTCCCGCGCTCTACTACTGGACCAGCTCGCTCCCCCCTTGAAAGAGTATTAGACTGAAACTGATTCAAAATTGTCATTGCTGACCAGATGAGCTACTTGCTCGAGTGCGGGAACGTACAGTCCTCAGCAGGCCTGTTTTTTATAAACCTGTTTTTACTATGTGTCTGTTTTGCTTGCTATGTCTACTAAATCTGGTTTGAAAAATCCAAGGAGTTTTCCAGAAGAATTGAAGACAAATTCCTGAATTTGAAGAACACTATCGGAACCCAACTTTAAGCTTTATTACGCAGTTTTATATTTTTTTTTACTTTTTAAAGATTTTTAAATAGAAATAATTTTTGTCACATAATGCATTTAACTACCTACAGTGATGTATTTAAAAAATGTACTTAAAAAATAGTAAGTTAGAAATTGTATTATTTACTAGCTGTAACCCGCAGGCTTTGCCCCGTTTAACTTCTTAATTTTCAAGATTATCTCGTTCGCATGGCTCAATCACGTCCTGGTTGAAGTTTGTTCGCTACGCTCACTCACCTTTAGGTTGGAGCTCGTTCGCTACGCTCACTCACCTTTAGGTTGGAGCTCGTTCGCTACGCTCACTCACCTTTAGGTTGGAGCTCGTTCGCTGCGCTCACTTGCCTTCAGGTTAGCTCGTTCGCTACGCTAACTCGCCTCCAGGTTGAAGTTCGTTCGCTACGCTCACTCACCTTTTGGTTGCAAATTAGCTGTTGTCATAAATGTAAAAGAAATAATAGTGCTGCACCCTCTTGGTAATCCTTGTAACTTTAATGCTATTGAACATCATAGAACAGAACCAACTTGTTTAATTGAAACAGCTGTTAAGATTCAATAATTCCATTTCTCATAAGGTTAACATGGGAAACTCCAGAGCCACTGGGGCGGAGCCCGAAAGGATTTTTGAAATAAGAATATTCCTATATGTTAATCGGGAATGTGAGCTATCATCATGCCAAATTTCAGCCCAATCCGACCAGTATTTATCGAGTTTACTTTTCCCATACACACATACAGCCCTTGAGAATGTGTCACCATTGAAGTAGTTATCATGTGTATGTCGAATCCATCTTGAGGTATGGTGTGATTTTGTGGGGACAGGCAACTGATAGAAAAACTATTTTCAGACTTCAGAAAAGAATCATCCAAATTATGACTAATTTCCACCCCAGAAGTCCTTGTAAATCACATTTTCAAAATTTAAAAATCCAAACACTCACAGGACTATACATACAGGGTGGCTGAAAAGTAACTTACACCCGCCCTTAACTTTTCAACGATTTGAGATATTTGAAATCTGTTTGCGGCAACCTTCTTAGATATGAGGGGCTACAATAATTATGGTCAATTTTGAAAATTTTGCCCTTAGGGGTAGTGGGGGTAGGGGTAGCTCAAAACTTTCAAATAACAAGTATAGTCAAGTTTGTATCATTTTACAGCCAACAGGTCTTGACAAAACATAAAAATTTACATATCCTAAAACATTTCAAATCCAAATAACCACAAGGGTGGCTGAAAATTAACTTCCACCCCCTTTAACTTTTTAACTATATGAGATATTTGACATTTTACAGGTCTTGACAAAACATAACAATTAACCTTTTTCAGTATTTTCTGTGAAATAACTTGTCTAGGCAGTATTATTCGCATGTGTATCAGTAGCGTAGCCAGGATTATGTCAAGGAAGGGGGGGGGGTTCACAAAGCTGATCTGGAGGGGGGGGGGTTTGAGGGTCATAGCCGTAACCTTAGAAAAGAAATAATAAGGTTTGTTTAGGGCCATTTAAAAAATAACTAAAGGCCATAAAAAAAACAAGTGTAAGATGTGATCTAACAATGTAAGCACAGTAGGTACAGTAGAGTCCCGCAAACTCGGCACTCGATAGCTCGGCAGTCTGGGTAACTCGGCCATCACCTGGCTCAAAAAATTAGTGATTTTTTGAGTCCCAGTTAAACATGGGCTCAAGTCAAAGCATTTGCAACTCGTAACAAGGATTTGTTGTACTATATCTGATGACTTAATACCTACTTGTAAAATAGATATAAATAAATAAGGCAGCTAAAAAGAAAAAAAATTGTATGGTTCTTATTTTTAACCCTAGTTTCCGATAACCCGGCATTTCACAAACTAGGCACCCTTCAAGTCCATATTACGCTGAGTTTGCGGGACTCTACTGTAGCTGATTTGCTATGTATAACCTCTCGCCTCTAGTACATTTGATTTTTCAATACTCCTCATTTGCACAGTTCCACTTGAGAACTAAACATAATAAGCTAAATAGCAGTGAGGTCCAGTTTTTTTTTTCAGTAAGTATGTTATCTATTGTCTATTAAGAACCTCGATTAACCAGAGTGGTCAATATAACTGCTTCTAAAATTATGTTACATAACCTCATTATCCAATACCAAGAAAGTTTTATACATTGTGTTTCTTTAGTGTAATGTGTTGAATGCATTTTATATTTAATCTTACTACGTTTTTACCATTATTATTTATATGCGGTAGGTTCTCACATTATTGTTTTTGAAACATCACAGTTTATTTGACAAAAATAAAATGGAAGCATAACAAAACAAAGATTCGGCTGATAGCTTCAAGATCAATTGACCTATGCCGCCTATGCGTATGCGCTTGCACTGACAGTCGTCTGCTCCTTACACATCCCCAAAACCCCCCCTTGGCTACGCCACTGGTGTGTATGATATATTATAATTTTCGAGTAAAGTTCGTGAGTCATGGAAATCAATGGTAAATGGTCATGGATAGTCATGGAAATTAATGACAAATTTTTGTGTGGACACTCCGAATATCTAAAAAATGTTGGCCTACCTGGCCTAACCTCTGGAGCCGCCCCTGCCAGGAGTTAATTTTTTATATTGTGTATGTAATTTTAATGAATGTAATATTTGTGATATTTATTACAACAGATAACATTTATTACAGATAACAATTGAGATAACCCATTGTAACATTTTTGTCACTGAAATAAAACACTGTATTATACAAACATTGTTTTGAATTCATTTATCCTACACACCATGGTAATTAAAAAGGCTATTTTTAGCATATTGGTTAACCGAAAAATCCGAAACGGCTCTCCATCTTTTATTTCGGTTAACCAGGGTGCTACTGTACAACAATGAACTACTACAAACTCAAAACTCATAAACTAATACAACTGTAATAAATTGAATCGTCACACATTTGTGAAAAATCCTGATAAATGCTACAATAGCCATGGTTACGGTCGACTAGAGCATTGAATGGTCCCTTCAAATCCATCCATCATTGAGGATTTCCATGACTTTCAATGACCAGATTTTTTTCCATGACTTTCAACAATGACTATCCCTGACTTTCCAGAATGTGGACACCCTGATATTTTAAAATTACGGCATATTTTAGAGCATATTTTACGGTTTAGGTAATACCGATAATCATTTCCCGCAACCGTGGCAATACACGTGAGCATATTTTTACGGTTTCGGCGACAACGATAATCGTTTTCCGCGGTCACAGCAATACCTGTGAGCATATTTTGCGATTTCGACGATAACAACCGTTTCCCGCAATCCCGGCAACACCCGTGAGCACATTTTACGGTTTAGGCAACACCGATAATCGTTTCCCGCCATTGCAGCAACACCCTTGAGCATATTTTGCGGTTTTGACGCAACCAATGATCGTTTCCCGCGAACGTGGCAATACCAGTGGTGGACTTTTGGTTAAACTACGGGGCTCCGTATTCCCGGAGGTTTGGGTAAATTCCTGGAGTTTTCCAGGATATTTCAAGGTAAGATAAAATTCCTGAAGGTTTCCCGATTTTTCCGGAAAGTAGACACCATGGTGTGACATTTATGTTTTTGTTTTATAACAAAACCTTATGGCTAAGCATCTGATGATGGCACAGTGATACTGAAACGACCATAACACTTGTTAAATACTGTAGGAGCTGGTTGGGGAAGGTAATATTTTGATTTAATTCATATAGGCTACCATACAGTTACAGTATTTTAAACACATGTCAGTGCCACTAATATACTGCACTAGGTTCCCTACAAAATTTAAACCCCTAACTTGAATCAAAAGAAAAATGATTTTAACAAACTAAGCGTTAAAAATAATTTATGTTGGTCAAATGAATGATGGATGTGTAGTTACTTATATGGAAAAAATACAATGTTCTCTTCCACGTCCTCTTCAGGTTGTGAAGAACGAGTGCAGCAGCTAGTAAATGTGTGCAATAAAAAGATATGCTTTGAAAATTATAACCAGCCATGGAATTTAAGTTCATTTGAGACAAGGTTACCTGTCTCATTTAATTTATTTCAAGTTATGCCTGCCAACTGGCCTTGTATAAACGCTGCTTTAAAACCACTAACCTGCATGGCAAATTTGTGTACAGGGCTAGCAAGGAAAGGAGACAACTTCGGGACTGACTCCAATCCATGAGAAACTGTGAAGTAGTCGATTTCAGATTGAGGTATGAAGTTGTTAATAACAGCGACACAGAGATGATTGCCTGCATTAGAAATTATATTGTTAATGCATGAATACAAACACTAAAATTAATGTTAAGAAGACAGACAAATGCTTAACTCTTCCCTAGGTAGGCCTATCTAATTTTCCAGGACTAACTTAAAAATCCAGACTTAAGATAGTTGCAGATTGAAAGTTGAGTTGCTCATCTTGAACTATTTAAACTAGGCCTACTCTGTTTTATGGAAAGACAAACATATTATTGATGTTTGTTTACTGCAGCCAATCATCGTTTAGGAAGCTTTATAGAAGGTAGAATTATCTATACTGTTAATATTAAAAGGCTTTGGCTAATCTGTTGAAACATACCTAAATGCAAAAATCACATAGGCCTACCTTGCTTGATATATTCAATTATGTTAGTAAATATAAGAGATCACAATTAGCATAAGCAATAAATAGAATTGAGGTTTGCCCCTACTGATCCCTGGTAAGTGCGTTGTAGCTGTTTCTTACGGTAGATTTTAGAAAATTAACGTTACTCTCTTCAAATTTGGAACTGACGACAGGTAATATAAAACCAAAATTAGTCATTCTCTTCTGTATTTTCATTTGTAGCAAAGCTCGGGCAGAACTAGTGATTATAACAAGGTGATCTTTAGAGCAAAACACATTAGTTTAATTTGATATTATAGTTCATAGCTGATCATTAAAATAAACTATATAAATTTGCAGTTAAGAGGCAACTAAATTATGTACTGTAACTAGAAACTGATATCCACTTCCTAACAGTGCAACTGCTGAAAGAAACACGTTAGGCTACAATAGTTACTATGCAGAGGAACACACTAGTTATGCTCAACGAGCACATAATATAAATAGAGAGGACACACTTCTAAAGTGTAGTACAGTGGAGTGCCGCCAGTCCAGAGCGCCCCGACCCAGCAAAGATGGCGGCCGAAAGCATGAGTCACCACACTAGCGAGCGTCGAACTACACTACACAGTGGTGCAATCCGACAATACTATACTGTATAGACGCTCGACGTATAAACACACATATTTGTTGTAAATCTTGTATTTTTAAACAATGATAACCGTAGTAAGGTGTGATCTGTAGAGTTGACTGGTGATACTTGACATATTTTGTATTTATTTTGTTTTATTTATTTATTTAGCTTAGTTTCAACAGTGCATTATTTCGGTTAAGATACAATAATGCCGCGAACTTGTGCTGCCTACGGACGCAACAATAGAGGAAAAACTAATGTTATGTAACTGAGATGTTACTTTTCATAGGTAAGCATTAATATTAGCAGGAATACAAGTTAATTACTTTTGATCAGTGTAGTGTATTCATGTACAAAAATTTGTACTGTGTGAATAAAGACTCTTTGAATCTTGAATCCTACTAAACTAAAATATTTGTTTATGTTTCCTCTTAATCTGTCAGTTCAACAAAGTCTTACACCAGAGGAAACTGTAATCTTGATGGAAACTGGAATAAGAAAGTGAAAAATACATCAAGTAGTTTTTTAATAAACATGAATTAGCTATTATAGTTTATACATATATAACAACTCTATATTAAGTTATTGTCTATATAAATAAAATTAGAGTTTTGTCTGTACATTGCTCAGAATTATATATGTTTAGGTTATTTTTACGTCTTATACATTAAATAAGCAGAAACGAGTCTTATCTCAATTTATGTCTGTCTGTCTGTCTGTCTGTCTGTCTTTCCCTCTGTCTGTAACACTCAAGATGGCATTTTACGCTATCTTCTCCTGGAAAACGAGAGTACCTATCAAGATCCAAGTAATTTTAATTTATTCACTGGATTGACGAGATTGTCTTTAGCCATTAAAATATGGCCTCACTATTTTGTAAATAATATTACTAACATTCAAAAATGTAGTTTTGTGCGATTTATGTCAAGTTTTCGTCCAATTTTTATTGCATAATCATCTATGAAATAACGAACAGCTGTTCGGATCAAGATTATTTTTTTAAGCTGTCACTGATATGTTTACAAATGTTGTTTACAAATACCGCAACCTTTTTCAATCACGTTTTGAATGCAAATCCCAACCAAGTGAGATTAAAAAACGTTTTTCTTACATAACAGATTTAATTAATCGAAAGTGCAATAATAGAGTGTAATAGTGTAACCGTAAATGAAATTAAATAACTAGGCATCATCCAGTTCAGGAGCCAGAGATTTTTTGTGTATAAATTGTTCTTGAGTTTTGATAACCCGAAAGAAGACCTTGAATCAGTGTTGTATACGGCTGGGAAACTTAAATTTAATAATGATCGTCGCCAATAGCTCAGAAACATGGTTTCCACTCATTGACGGCACTTCAATGGCGGTTGTGTAAAGTGTAAAGTAAAAAATCACAACTGCAGTGGGTGATTGTACCAGAGGTTTACGGATGATGCTAAACTCGCTTTTCTAATGTGTTATTTTCTGTTCCTACCATTGACTATATATATATAGTGAATAGTACCTACTCACCGTGTGATGCAATCGCTGGACCATACAGCCAATAGGCCCATAGCCCATCTCTTGGGTACGTACGCCTACCCAATTATTCATAACAACCTTTTCGACGACGATCCTTGATACCGGTACTTTTCCCTAGAATACACGGCCTACCTACTTAAGAAATAAAATTACAAACGTCCAAAAAAACCAACGTTGTGTGATTTTTGTCACATTTCCTTCTAATGTTAATAGATAGCCTAGATACCAATCATTGTTTAGAGAATACGTAATCTATTAAATAACAAAAAGTTTTTTTTTCAAACTGACACCGATAAGTTTACATTAAAAGTTGTTTACAAATAAAGCAATTAATGGGAAATAACTTTGATTGCCGTTTTAAAACGTTTTACGCGAAAATCCAAAACCAAGAGATCAATAACCTCGGGACTTGATTAACTCGTATAATTGGTCAGCTGTACTATAGTTCTCAACTGTGAACGTTGGTTTTTGGTACCAGTTCTATTCCTTAGACCAGTTGGTACTGTTGGTAGCAGCAAGAATCATTTTTAAGTACCAACACATCACTGTACTTTACAAATTAGTTATCGTTGGTGTTGCACCTTATTTATTATTACAGGCGTATTCAATTTAATTGATGTCTTAACTGTACAATTTTTGCTTTTTCTTCTTTGATTCCAAAATGTTTGTTTATGCTAAGAAAACGATAACGCATTTAAACGATAACGCATTTTAGTAAAACATCTATTCAGCAAACCATCATGAATTGTTTAAACGCTTTACGTTGTTTATGTACCAATAGTTCATGGCCTATTTTGGTAATTTTTATTATAAATTACCAATCTAAATTGTCTATAGTACTTCATTTCATATAGTAAGCCGTCATTTCGGGTCATCATCGGTCCAAGCAAATATAAATTGTTATGATGAAATTTGATGACATTAACAAAGATTTCAGATACTAATTTTATAAGTACTTTGTTATGCTTAAAGCGTAGCAAATTCCCTAATTAAGTTCTGTATTTTTGTGTGTATGTCTGTTGGTAACGCATTAATGTCCTTATTTCTCAGTGTTTCACGGAAAGGACAAAAGCACCTTTATAATGAAAATGTCAACCCGAATAAAGTGTTAAATTGTGAGGTTGAGGGAGTACCTTAAATTCTTTTAACCATTGTGGAAGGTAATTTTCAATTATAGGCCTACATTAGGGCTATGCCTCATAGATCTATAAAGCATTTTTTAGATTAATAATTGGATTTAACATATGGACCAACACGAGACCCAGGTTACATTTAATTTCGAAGCATTTGTTTTGGCTTTAAACTGTCAGATACTGTATTTGCGAAGGTTTATATATAATAGTTTTACCAGTATATCTGAAAATATGCAAACCAACTTCTGTTCTTAATAAGAAGGTTTCAACTGACTACAATAAGATCCCCGTGCGTAGAACGGGCACACAGCTAGTAGTAAATAAAGTACAACTGAGCACCCTGAATATTATATTTTTAATATAAGTGACATGTTTTGGACATACTGTAAGTCCATTTTCAAACTTCAAATAATATTATTTCAATGTTATTTGAAGTTTGAAAATGGACTTATGTCCGAAACATGTAACTTCTATTATAAATATAATATTCAGGGTGCTCACTACAATAATTTAATATATCAGCAGCCCTATTACGTGAACACCTAAATTAAAACAACTCTATACTATATTTTGGTAAAATAGGAAAACTGTTATCTATATAGATAAAAGGCAAAGCCCTCACTGACTGACTTGACTGACTCACTCACTCATCACTAATTCTCCCACTTCCCATTTACCTAGGAGGCTGAAATTTGGTACACTGATTCTTTAGGCATTAAATAGGAAAACTAAGTTGTTTTTATTCTGATCGGCCTCTCAGGCTCCGCCCCAGTGGCTCTGGAGTTTCCCATGTTAACCTTATGAGTACTCATATTTAAATGGAATTAATGAATCTTAACAGCTGTTGGTTTTAAACAAGTTGGTTCTGTTCTATTTCTATGATTTTCAATAGCATTAAAGTTACAAGGATTACCAACAGGATGCAGCACTATTATTTTTAATTTATGACAACAGCTAATTTTCAACCAAAAGGTGAGTGAGCGTAGCGAACGAACTTCAACCAGGAAGTAATTGAACCATAGTCCAGTAAATCTGTCAGAAAATATGGGGTTGCTGTGCAAAAGGTCGGGTAGTTCTGATTTTTGGATATGTTGTTAGTATTGAGCCCATAACATAAAATCCAAGTTATCCACCTCGAGATACTGCCGCTCGCCGCGGGGCGCGCCACTTGTTATCGAAATATCAAAAATATGGCAATTCCTATTGTTTTTTACTCAATCTCGCGAACCGTTGATTTTACCAAAAATTTTATATTATTACATTAAAGAATAATAAATTTGTGACAGTTTAAGCCCAACAGCAAGTATGTAGCGTAAATAATGGTCAAAATACAGACCATCAAAATAAATAAATTTACCAAAGACCGATAAAAATTGTGGTTTTT